CTTGAGCCACAGCACCACTTCCGGCTTTTTTCTTTTTGCTTATGTGGTGCTGAGGAATCGAACCCAGGGCCTCAGGCATGCAAGGCAAGTGGCTCCACCACTGAGCCACCTTCCCAGCCCTTTTTTTCATTATCATTTTTTTCATTATCTTATTATTTCAGTCATCAGTATCATCTTCATTCCTTCCTTCTGCTTGGCTTACTTTTCTTTTTCTAGTTCCTTAAAGAATTTGCCCTTTGCCTTTGTCATTTGGACAACTGCTTGATGTCTGACAAGTCACAAACTTCTTCCTTAGAGAAATAATAGCATGAGATCAAACAGCATCACTTCAAACATCATAGTAAAATCATTGTGAAATAAAATATGAAAACCTTTAGAGGGATTTTTAATTGGTGGGAAAAAAGTTTAATTTCACACACATATTTTTCTCGATCTTTCCTTCCTTCTGAAAAATACTTTAACCACTCTCCTGAGTAGTCCTTTATCTTCAATAAGAGAAATACATTGGTTTTAATTCAATATTTTATTGAACTTTTCATATTAAATAACTTACTAAAACATTTAAAATGCCAGTGAGACCAAAGCAACTTAACAGAAAAAGACAGACAAAACACCTCCTTGATTGGGGTAATCTTGTATAAGAATCAGTGTCAAATCACAAGGTATTTGTTACTCTGCCACACAACTTGGTACTTCATCCATCAATGATATTCAATGGCTCAACATACAACTATATACATTTTGGCTCAATAAACAGTTATACACACACACACGCACACACACACACACATATAGTGAGAGAGAAAAACAAGAGACAGAAATACCAACATAAAGTATCACTCAAATTCTAGTGCAATGCTGTTACCAAGAAATTTTACTTGCTTATATTCTTGAAAATGATTCAAACCTGGATCTTTTCAGCAGCTGGCCCCATAAGAAAACTGAGTGCAAATACCTTTGAAAATTTCAGTTGATATCAGCATTTTTTGAGTAGATATATGAATAGTTGGATTGAAATATTAATATTTCAATATTGTAAGGAAGGATGAACACTGAAAAATTAACCATGCAACTTATAAGCAGAGATGGGAGAAGACTGATTTATGAAATGGTAACCTCTTTGTACAACACCTTAATAATAACAATAAAACTTTTTAAAATATTGTGCACAACCAATAAGAGTAAATGCTTTTGCAGCTGCCACAATGCTAGTGTTGAAAAGACAGTTATGAATAGTCAGGCAGATCTGCAGAAGTGAACTAGATTTTTTGCCTTAGCCAGGTAATTCCAGAAGTCAGGAAGCTGAGGCAGGAGGAACTCCCACAACCTCCCAAAAACAAATCAAGAAAAAGGAGGAAAGGAAAGGAAGAAAAGCCAGGCACTGGTGGCTCATGCCTGTAATCCTAGTTAGTTGGGAGTCTGAGGACTGTTTTGAGGCCAGCCCAAGAGGAAAAGATTGTAAGACCCCTGGTTAACTGATGGCTGGGCACAGTGATATGTACCTGCCATTCTAACTTCTTGGGAAGCTAAGAATGAGAGGACTGCAGTTGCAGGAAGCTAAGAATAAGAGGACTGCAGTTGCCTGGGCAGCTAGGAAACTCTACCTCAGAGGACAAAGCTGGGCATAATGGCATCTAGCTACAACAGGAAGCCTAAAATAGAAGGAACATAGACCAGGTGACTGGGTAGGAAGCAAAATCCAATCTCAAAAATAAGTAGTGAGAGAGGAAAAAAGGGAGGGGCAGGGGAAGGAGAGGCGTGGCCAAATTGTATAGCACAAGGCAAGCAAATATAAAACCTCAATTTCAAAACCAGCCAAGGATTTCCCCCCAGAGATCATTTATTTCTCCAGTTTTGGTTCTAAAAGCAGTGGCTACCAAGCACTCCAATCTATTACTTTACAAATTCACTTGCTTTTACCATTTTATAGCATTTAATGCTAGAAATTTGTAGCCTTGAATAAATAACTTTATTAACCTAGGGATTTTTAGAAGCCCACAAGAGAACATCTGAGGAATCACTATATACACAACTTAGCAAATCAATTCATACATTGACAAAATAGGTTAATTTTAACCAATTTTTAATTCAATGACTTTCAGCCTATTATATTCAAACTAAGAAACCTACAATGTAAGGCAAACACATCATAAACTCATGTCCAAAGGTGGTCCATAAGAGGACCACTAGACCTGTGGAAATATTAATAGAATGATATCTATAAAGCTATTGCTTTTACTAAATTAAAAATACTCTCATCTAATATCCTGAGATTTATCCTATGGATATTAAATTGTGGCATCCATACAAAAGAGAAACAACTTTTAAAAGGAAAAAAAGTGTATTTGATGATTACTGCTTTTATTTTCTAAATTCATTGAAAAATGGGTGGCTAAATTATTAAGTGCTTAAATTTCAAAGGTTATATTTAATTTTGGAAAAACAATAATTTGTTTTACTTAACACTTTTCAATTTTATTTTCATGTTAATTTGTATTCTTTCTCCAAATTAAGACATGTGTCACTAAGCCTATCAATCTGATGATTACATCAGAAAAATTACATTAAAAATTATGTAACTGTATTCATGGTAATAATATAGTGTATAATCTTGAAATAATCTTGAAATATGTAAGTTTTAGCTATTTGAAGATTTTCACTGATTTTCATATCACTACTTGATTTCACTGATTGTTCTAGAAATTTTTAAAAATTGAAAATTTTGTTTAATATTTCTCTGAAGTCAAAGTCACCTTGATTAAAATAAAAATAAAGCTTATAGGAAGCATATTATTATAAATACTTAAAAGATTACACAACAATTCAAATGCAAGAAAAGTTAAATCTCATAGACAAAGTAAAACACTCTACAAGATCAATCATAAAATACAAAATGTGATCAGTAACATTTATTTTCCCTCAGTGCAATTTAAACTTCAAAGTGGGAAACACATAGTAAGCAGACACACAAGACAGCTGTGAGAATTGCTACTTATATATTTTTTCACACCTCTGAATGAACAGGATTTAATCCACCAAATGCAATGTAGGAATAAAAAATATTAAGCAATTTTTTTGCTCATTTATTGAAATGTGTTCCCCTAACCCCAACAAAACACAAAGACAAATTTCTTTAAAATGTTTGTATTTTTTTAGTATTCATCCAAACATTTAAACTTTTAAAAAATAAAAAGTGATCAAGATACCTTGCTTTTTTTATGTAAGCATACCTAGTACGGAGAATAAAACTGTAGGCAAAACTGAAAGAAAAAAAATCACAGCCATTATTTATGATGACTATTATAGAAGGCAAGAGACACAAATTTCCAGATGAAATTTAATTTTGCCTCCTCTAAGGTAAGTCATTCAGAAACAAAAGGCGAGTAAGGTTTGTTTAAGTACACAAATTTGTAAATATGGAAACAGTAATAGTTGTCATGATTACTTTCTTAAGAGTGGCTCCAAAAGTAGTCTGACATGTCACATTACTAGCTAAGCAAGTCAAACCGCACAATGTATGACGCTGGCACTGAAACACTCAGTTTGGATGGGGACACTATATTTGACTTAAATCCTTTGGGCCTCTTGGCTTTTGTTATTAAAGCAGATGATTTCTTAGTATGCAATGTTTATCTACAAGTACAGAATTCCAAGTTATATTTGTGCACACAATTGGCTTCATATAATACATATATACAAGCCATTAAAATAGCTTTATAGGGACAATTTAAACTTCTTTGATTCCTGCTGACATATTGCCAGATGTGATCCTTAGATTTTTTTTTCCAATGATGACATCATTTATTTGCTTAAAGGTAAGGCCTCCTGATACTATACTGTATTGAGGATCACATACCCAAATCAATCCATAAGGTAAAAATCAATGTAACAAATATTACAGTCCGGTAGAATAGATTGAATTCAATGAAATTTCATTTTATATTTAATGATGATATATTTGCTTTTTCCCAGCAACAATTTTGCTTTAGCATGAGTGCTACATTAAAATTTAATTCTTTCACAGTCTTATCTTTATTTAGTTTTGAAGTTTGGAATCATTTTGATCCAAAATATATAGGTATACTTCAAAAGAAATAAAAGTCAATTTAATCAGCTTGGGCTTTGTCTACCAGTTTCCCTTTCCAATCCACTTTTTTGACTCAGTATGTTGCTTTTATCCCTCATAATTTCATGGCAAATTATCCACATTATGTTTTCTCTACTAAGCAGTGATAGAACCTAAATCTCAAGCAGCATTCTGAAGAAGTGCAGTGTAAATAATTTTGGTAAACTGCAGGATAACTGCATGCAGTGTATACTGTATCATAACAGCACCAAACCCTTTATAAAAACCAAGCACTCCTTCCTCCTGCTTTATGGTACTGATACAGTCTCTCATTCCCTCATATTGTGTATTAATTGGAAGCACTTCATAGCCAAGGTCTGTGTTGTCAATTATTGTGCGTGTTCCTTGAATGTGAAGGCGGTGCAAAACTGTTTCCAGTGGGTAAAGTATTACGTCAGAGCAAAGACTGGCAACAAAGTTAGCAATAAGTTCTGGAAAATAAGCTTCCAGTATACACTGTACAGGACAACCACTTTCAGCTAGGTGGCTAGTGCAAGTCTTTCTCTTTAGAATTAGTAGGACAAACTTCTGAATGACTGTGCTGATGATGTAATGAAGAACTCCATGCAGCACCGTAGGGAAGATCAAGGAATGAAGTGGCAGGAGTCGCTTGCTATGAGGCACCCCCAAGCCTAGTACTCTTCCGATTCCTTCTCTAATACATTCCAGTATGCTAGAATTTTCTCGAATTATCTCACTCTGAAATGAAAAGAATTAAGTCAAACAATTTAAAAAAGTTTGCCACAAAGAACAAGGGCATACTAAAGCAACCAGCACAACCATGTTAACTGCAGCATTGTTTATCATAGCCAAGATATGGAATCAACCCAGATACCCATCAGTGGATGAATAGATCAAGAAGATGTGGTATATATACACAATGGAATTATACTCATCCATCAACAAGAATAATACTGTAACATTCATAAGGAAATGGAAAGGCTTAGAAAAAGTTACATTAAGCGAAGTAAGCCAGACCCAGAGAAACATAGGTTGGATGGTTTCCATTTTTTGTGGTAACTAGAATATGTCTATAAACCTATAAACACACTAGATGGTAAAAAACAATGCACTTGGACACGATAAATTATGTGGGTCTCTAGACATTCATATACAGAGAGACCAAAAGAGGTTAGGAGAAGATCACAAACATGCAACAGCTATGCATCTGATCATATAAAATAATATTTTTGAAATGAACTCCAGGAAATAGGAACCAAGTTTTTTCTTTGTTGCTGTTTTTCTTTTCTTTTCCATTTGTCTCATTTGTTCATTTATCTATTTTGAGGAGGCTAAGAAGGGGCACAGAAATGGTAGGGCAAAGGGCGAAAAAATGCAGCAGTAATACTCATCATCCACTATGTTGAAAATGAACTATACAACTTGTGGGTGGGGAAGAATGGAAAAACTGGGAGAAGAGATGGAAGGGGTAACTCAAAAAGAAATGTACTCTTTAGCTGACTTATGTAACGGCAAACCCTCTCTACAGCACCTTTACAATAACAATAAAAATGCAAAAAAATAAATATTTTACTTAAAAATTTGCCATAAATAAGGAACTTCATATAGGTCAATTTAAAATTAATTTACTGACAAACAAAGTATCAATAGTTTTAAGGCTCCAATTGTTATCTAGGCATTAGGTCCTTTTTCCAAAAGTGATCTCATAAAACAGACAGCAATGAAGTTGGAAGGTATTCCTACTGAAGCAGAGAGCTGGGGAAAGAGAGAGAGCACCACAACACCTGGTATTCTCAATCTAAAGAAGCTTCACAGCACTCAGAGGCAACAGCATGAAGATTAGGCAGGCAGATTAAGACTAAAGTTCTGAAGCATGGGTTTAAATTTTGCCTCCTTTAATTATTGGTTATGTAATAAGGTACTTAATGTGTCCTAAGCATTAGTTTAGCATTCTATGAAAATGGAAATTAGCACTATCCATTATTTATGCACAGAGCTTTTCTTTGAAACAAGAATAGTAAAGACTGGGTACTCAGTAAATGTTGGTCTCACCTGAATTATCTGAATTACCTGCCTTTTTATAACCTTGGGGACAAGAATAAGGAAGTTTGTGATAGAGATAAAAGAGGCACCGAACCAGAGAAGGAACAGCTAAAAGGCTAATATGGCTGCCTTGCTGACTGTAGAAGAGGATATAAAAAGGCATACTATGTTTTATAGACTGCTGAATAGACTCTGGCTTCTAGTCAGATGGGGAATAACTACTTGGCTTTATGTAGAAGATGGACACAATGTCTTTGTTTTAAATAATACTGGCAATTATGCAAAGGATGGCAAAAGCACAAGCAAGTGTAAGGTACTGAGTTCAACATAGTCAAATATATATATATATGAAAAAATTTAATATATACATATTATATATATTTAAATACACACATACATAATACATATATTTAATTTTATTGCTCAGTACCCATATCTGCAATCCTAGGTACTCTAGAGGTTGAGGCAGGAGATCCTTTATCAAAAATAACCAGTAAATAACAGAGCTAGAGGAATAACTCAAGTGGTAGAGCTCCAGCTTAGCAACTGAGAAGCCTTAAGTTCAAACTCTAGTATCATCTTCACTTCACTTCAAATACAGAAATGATGGTGGCTTTGACTACAGCTAAGTAATACAACTAGTTCAATTTTGCCTTTAAACCAGATAACAACAGGGCTTACTAGTAAGACTGTTTAATGTATCAAAGGGAGGAGCCAAGGATGACCAAGACTGTTAGCCATTGAAACTACAGGGACAGCACTATCTTTTACCTACTTAGGAAATGTTGGAATAGTAACTTGGGGAAAAGACCAAGAATTCAAAAATTTAAGCACCAGTCTAGATTATAAGAGAAAGGTCCAAGGCCTAAGGACATAAAAACATGGGAATCCTTAGGAAATAGATACTTCGAACTATGAGACTCAATGAGTTTGCCTACCTGCCTACAAATCTATACTGTGGCCTCTTTCCCACTCCAGTCTAGTTTTACAACAGCGAAAGAGATCCTAATAGTCATAGCTGTTTTGCTAAAATCTGCCATCTCTCTAATGGGCCAAATTATTATAATGAAGTAAATGTCCTATGCCATCAGGTCACTGTTACCACTAAAGCTTTATCTCCTGCTAACCCCTTGCTTATGAGAACCAATCATATCAACCTCCTTTCTGTTCCTCAGACCTATATGATACAATCTCTTTGTACATTCTTTTCTTCTGCTTAGAACCTCTAAATATCCATGTTTTTTCAGCCTTTGACCCTTACTTAAATATTACCTTGTAGAAAGGCCTTTACTGATCTTAAAAAAATACTACCTGCTCTTCCTATGTATGACACATTCTACTTGCCTCCCTTGCTTTACTTTTGCTTTCCTTAAGGCCTATCAGCATGTGAGATACCTTAGATGTGTCTTGATTAGTCTTTCTTCCCCCAAAACATATAAGTGCTATGGAGGCAAAGTACTGTTGCCTGTTTGTTTGCTGCTGTGGCCCTGGGTCTACAACAATGTCTGATACAGGCTGGTACTCAATGAATACTTCTTGAACTAAAAGAAAAATTTAGCAGTTAAAGAAAACGAAAATAAAAAGGTAACTCGAAAGAAATCTTGATATAACATTATGGTAAAGTTGATCTTAGGTAATATGAATCAATATAGATCCTCTAATCACCAATAGGATGGATGTAAGTGGTCTAACTCAAACACACTAATCCTGCACATGAATATAGAGTGGACTTCTAAAGCACAAGGACTAGTACAAAAAGGAGTGAATTAGAAGGAAGTTCTTGTTCACAAGCTTCAAGGAGGTGCTCTTCATATAGATCCCTTGTTTTTGAGGAAAACAATTTTATGAAAAAGATCTGAACTCTCTAGAAGGGCAAAGAATCACTAAACTTGGAAGAAAGCAGATATTGTGATAAGCTAGATAGGAAGAATGACACTGAAGGGCACAAATAGACAAATCACATATAGTTGTTGATGTTAGAAATAAGAAGATAACATTAGTTTTACAGAGTGACTCACAAAAATAATAGGGAAGGGATCTTCCCTAAAACTAAAACTAATCTCTTGAGTCAGGGTGAAAATTGAGACTGAAATGAAGATTAGATTTATATGAGGAAATGCGCTCTCCCAGGATAAGTATAAATTAAAATCAGAGAGGGCCAAGGACAGAGCCTTAAAATACAAGAGAAGAAATGTCAGAGAAAAGATGTGCAAGACAGTAGAAAACTGAGAAAAGAATTTCACAAAAAGCAAACAGACTCAAAAGGTGAGTGCTAACAAACAGATATGGAGCAGGAAACACAAAGGTAGAGCCTGGGTATGAAAACATTCAGAGAAAATCAACATCAGTGAAGTGTACATGTAGAAAAGTACATTTAATTTTTTAGAATTCAATTATTTAGAATTCAATTCAATTTGTGAATAAAAATGTATGGTTTAAAAATTTCTTTAAAGTCACAGATCTAATTTAAGTGGAGAAATGTCCTTCTGTTAAGTCTTTCTCAAGCTAAAAGTTACTTTCTTACAATATATTATGGTACTTGCTTTTCCTTCAATTAATTATCCTTTATTGTTAAAGACAAGAATATTTAGAAAGTGATAACTAAACTCTATAGTAACAAAGGTTTTATCAAGAACACAATGTCAAACACAAGAGGAAGAAGTACGTTTAGATCACATGATGTTAATTTCAGTTAGCTCTAACAACAACAAATCAAAGCATAATGGTGAAGTTAAAAAGAAACTAAAAGGAAAAGCATACAAAGAAAAGGCTGATCTAGTAGAAGTTTTTAATACAGAGGACACTCAAACACACTGAAGAAAAAGTAATGCTAGAGTAACTGATACTGGAACTAGAAGCCAGGTGTACAATCAGTTGATTTTTGCTTATGAGTCAAGTTAAATTGAGTTCACCTCACAGTGAAAAAGTATCTGACATTTAATCCAATGTACTTCAAGTGCCTCCATGTGGTCAGAAATAGTAAAACAAGCAAACAATTTAAAATTAGAGCAGGAAATTCAAGTTTTGTAGCATTTACCACATCAACAGTATTAAATGTTCATCCGAAGGCATATTTAAGAAGAATGCTATTGGTAAACTATATTTGGGCACCATATAATCTGTTTTTATGATTATTCATTGAAATAAGTATTAATGTAGCATCCTATGATAATCCATAATCATCTGAGTTATAAATAGGGAAAAAGTTTATATTCTTTCTGTTAAGAGCAAGTCACAGGCTGGATTATGAAATGTCTGAAAAAAGAGTGTACTTGCCTCTGGAAGGCAGAAAATGAATTAAAACTATAAGTATGGCCTAAGTTGCAAGAGAAATATACACAGCAGAAATGTGTAATGATGAAGGACACTCAAGAAAATTTTTGTATTTAAACAATCAGATAAACACAGTACATTGAGTATCCTCTATAACTTTATCTAAAGGAATGAAAACAAAATAGCTCACCTGTACTGTTTCAATTAGGCTTGCTGAATAAAAAGGCATTGCCACTATGTAAGTTAGGCTGTAGAAATTAAAAAGAATTAATCAGTACACTGAAACAAGTCAATTACTTAAATTAAATTTGCAAATACTGCTTTAATGTATCAACATAATTTATGCTTAAGATAGAATGATCTTTTCAAAGTTTTTAACTATTGTTTGTTGCTTTACAGATATTAACCTCAAAAACCTGTAACATAGGATGCTTTATTAAATAGAGGTTAAAAAACTCAATAACACAGGGAAACTCTGCAAAGAAATAGATTTTATTTTCAACCAATATAATGTAGGATTATTGGACTCAATGTTTAGACATCTACTGGTATATAGGTAATGCAAGCCTATATATTTGATTCTTAAAATTTAGGATCTTATACTCCACAGCCTGCCTTTTAGCCATGTTTGACTATGTATACTTTCTGTTCTAATCATCATCATTGTCTTTTCCTAGACATCCTATTAGCCACCTTTAATGAAAGTAAAGCCCCCTTTTATTATTAAAAAAATATTGTACAGTTTTGCAAAGTTGTTTCCATCACCATTACTAAGTTACAATAATACTGCAACTTTGCAAGCTTGTAAAATACAGTCATTTGAAATGATACCAAGGTGGGACTTACCTAACCCTTATGGGCCAGACCATGGTTAAGTAGTGATTTTCAAGGTGAATGGAGCATTACCAAGTAATAATGTGCTGGAATGCCCCATGAAAGGAGCCAGCAAGCTGGGGGATTTTCAATTCAAAATCTTAAAAAAAAATTTAAAAGGAGTAAGATTCTAGTCTATAAAGAAGGTAACTGTTGTAAAAAATAAAATCACTAAATGCCTTTAGGGTTACATTTTTTTTTTTTTTTGGTCGGTCGTGGGGGCTGAACTCTGGGTCTGGGTGCTGTCCCTCAGCTTTACAGCTCAAGGCTAGCACTCCACCACTTGAGCCACAATGCTACTTTTCTAGCTTTTTTTTTCCTGCTTATGTGATGCTGAGGAATCAAATCTAGGGCCTCATGCATGCGAGGCAAGTACTCTACCATTGAGCCAAACTTCCCAGCCCAGGGTTACATTTTTCATGTCATTATAGGTATGTGTTTCCTTACCAATAACCAAATACCACATACAAATACATCTCTGCTTAAGAATAAAATACACATTGAATACCCCTTGTCAAACTTTTTAGGATCATATGTATTTCAGACTTTGCATTTATTTTCAAAATTTTATATTCTTGCATGCACATAATAAAGATAACTGGGGTGGGGCCCAGTTATCTATATTTTATATACAGTTTACAAACATAGCCTGAAAATAGTTTGCACTTATATTTTTGTGTGCCTGCCTTTTGACTCTGGTCTGTCATATGGGCCAGGTATTGTAAAATCATGACAACTGTGGTATCATGATGGTTCTCAAAAATTAAAAATTTTGAAGCATTTCAGATTTTAAGTTTGGGATATTCAACCTGTAATAATAATATTCTTGGAAAAATTTGGACTAAATGAACTGAAAACTTTTTAAAATTTCTACCAAAGAAAGGATAATATGTGTGAGTCCCACAAAGTCAAACTAATGAAAATTATTTTACAAACCACAGTATTTCAGGATTGAATTCCTAAACTGTTACTTATCCTTTGAAGATTTATTCCCATAAATATTTCATTGTTCTAAGTTCACTGTTCATTAATAAGACTTGTTTCAGCACTAACACTATAAAATTAATAGAAACGCAATAAAAATGCTACCTTTGATACTTACGATTTCAGTAAAAGATGTTCACATATTTGTTTAGGATTCCATTTATGTGCAATCTCCCTAAAATTTAAGAATAAATTTAAATAAATACAACATCCATGTTATTTAAAATATTCTTAAACTAGCTTAACTTAAAACATAATTAATTTTTATTTTTTAATATGTAGAATTTAATTTTTAATTTTTTGGGGGTGAGGCTTGAACTCTGGGCTTGGGCACTTTCCCTGTGCTCTTCAGCTCAAGGTGAGTGCTCTACTGCTTGAGCTACAGCACCACTTCTGGTTTTTCTAGTGGTTTAACTGGAGATAATACTTTCCTCCGCAGGGTTTGAACTGTGATCCTTAGATTTTAGCTGCCTGAGTAGCTAGGCATGAGCCACCGACACCTGGCTTAATTTTTACTTCTTAATTTTTGGAGGTATTGAAGTTTGCTAGGCAGGTGCTCCAATTGAACTACATTCCTAGTCCTTTTGAGAAACATTTTCTAATAGTGATGACTGTCCTTTCTGGAATATATTTCAGAAAACTGCTGTGGTTCAAAAGAAAAGGTGTTTCTGTATGTGCTAATAAAAGAAAGAGTTATGAATGAAGAAAAAGTTGTAACTGACTGTAAGAACCAACTGGAAGTGAAATTAAGGGAAGAAATATAAAAGTTTAGAAAAGCACAAATGAGAGAATGAAAAAGGAAAACAGGATTAGGAGAAAATAGGGAACGAAAGGTTTAAGCATGAGAATATAAAAACAAGAAATTGTAAGTCTGCCTTACCACAGATTTAATATGCACACAAAATATTTTTAATAAAAAGAAATTTCTAAGAAAAAATTATAATTCTGAGTGTATTATAAAGATTAGTTACTGGGAGAAGCTATCAGCACTTCTGTATTATGGTCAGTATTGTTTGATCTGAAGAATGTTTTTTTCTCCTAAGGCAAATGGTATCCCTAAAACAAAGCAAAAATTATGGTAATATACTAAAAAGGGCACCGAAAAGTGCTTAAGAGATCCAGTAAGAGATTTTCAGATTTGCAGAAAGGTGGCAGGTCTTTAATGGAAGTTGAGTTGCATCAGGGGAAAAATAAACTCAGTATAACACTAAATTCTGTGCAAAATCTGCTTGGAACCATATACGCATAGATACTAAGGATCTACTGTAACCATAATGGAAAATAACACATTCTTTTGTATTACTGATAATTTCCAAAGCACCTTTACTTTTAACAGTGACATTAATTTTGTGATTATGTTAAATCCTACTGTTTGGGTTTTTTTTTTTGAGCACCTAATAAATAACAGATTCTGCAAGGTGTTTCATATGAATGATTTGTAATTGTCGTCATGACTCTCTCATTTTTGTATAAGGATCAGAAAGGGTCCGTAATTAGCAGGTTCAGATTTCTGGTAGCTTTTGGAATGCAAGTAAACTATTCCCTAGACTCTGAAACAGGTTTAATTGAAACACAAATCACATAATGTATTATAATCAAATAGCCTATATGACAAATAGAAATAGCTCACATACTCCTATTTATTCCTTAGCTAGCAGTAAGCTATCATATGGCAGGAGCTGAAACATGGATGTCAATACATATTACAAGAATCATTTGTCTCAATTACATAGTATTCAACAAGGTATTTTCAGAAGGTATGGAATCTTACAAAAATGAAATGTTAAGAAAATGACAAAATAAAAGTACCTTGGCAAAGATGTAAATTCACTAATTAAACCTTCTGCTCCAAGTGTGACACCTTGGACAATAAACGTACTTCCCATTCCTTTCCATAGGGATCTTGGTCCCTGAAATAAAAAAAATTATCATTATACCTGTTAATTTCTAAATATGAAACAAAGAAGGATGTGCAATAATTTTTTTGTCTTGTCTGTCATGGGGCTTAAACTCTGGGCATGGGCGCTGTCCCTCAGCTCTTCAGCTCAAGGCGAGCGCTCTGCCACTTGAGCTACAGCGCCACTTCCGGTTTTCTGGTGGTTTATTGGAGATAGGAGTCTCACGGTCTTTCCTGCCCGGGCTGGCTTTGAACCGTGATCCTCAGATCTCAGCCTCCTGAGTAGCTAGCATTACAGGCATGAGCCACTGGCTCCCGGCTGTGCAATAAAATTTAATATTGTATTTATACTTTCTAGTGTTTTTCTGATGGAAATCTAATAAATTTTTCTTATAAGAATCATATTGTAGCCTATCACTAAACGTTTTAATGGTAGGTGGACTATATTTAAGCCAAGATAAACACTCCAAGCTGGGTGCTGGTGTCGCACTCTTATAATCCTAGTTATTAAGGAGCTAAGAGCTGAGGATCACGGTTCAAAGCCAGTCCAGGATGAAAAGTTCATCTCCAATTAATCACCAGAAAATCAAAAGCACCACTGTGGTCAAAGTGGTGGAGCGCTAGCCTTGAGCAAAAAGAGCTCAGGGATAGTGCCCAGGCCTGTGTTCAAGACCCACAACTAACAACCCCTCAAATACATGAACACTCCAATTAATTAAATGTCCCTAATGATTGATTTACTAAATACCTCATATATTACATAACATATAATAGGGACTAATCAGGAGTGCTGAATATATATGGTTATATATTTATGTAAAATGTATATATTATATGTAACATACAGAATATAAATATAATTTACTGTATATTAATTATCTATATTTTCAACATTCCCTATTAGGCTAGCTGCTACACCGGTACTTCAAAATTCACGTATCTATGACTTATCTCAATCATAGCCATTCACCACAAGTCTTTTTTTCTCTGCTGCACTGCTGATCTTCCTAGATAGCAGCTACATCATCCTAGTATCTAAATCATATACAGCCACATAACACTTGTCTCACTTTTCCTATCTAATCCAATTACCAAGTCCTATAAATTCTGCCAAGTCTTTCACAAATATTATTTTTCCGTCATTCCTGAAGTATTATGTCTGTAAATATTACATCCATTTCATTATTTTTTTAAAAATTTCATTATTTCTTATCCTGAGACTTTCCACAATACCATTATTGACAATAATAGTTATCTACAAATTATTAGTAAAAAGTATATCAACATATTGCAATTAAATAGTATTAGAAGTTTAATTTCTTTTGATCACAGCCCCGTAGCAGAAATTATTTACTCTGTGCATGTATGAAAATACAGAAATGTTCTTGATTCATTTTGTTCATTTTAATAGGAAAAAAAGAACCTCAGATTATATGATGTCAGTACATACAAACAACTTTTTTATTTTTAAAAGCTACATGGAGCAAGAAAAGGAGGTATATATACACAATGGAATTCTATGCTTCCATCAGAATGAATGACATTACCCCATTAGTAAGGGAATCGGAAGATGGAATAAATCATAGTAAGTGAAGTAAGCCAGACCCAAAGGAACATAGGTCCCATAGTTTCCCTCATTTATAATTAGTATATGTCTAGGATAATCCTAGCAGATGAACAGAATAGCTCAATAGCTATGTACATATGATTATATAAGACCATGCTAAATGAAATGAACTCCAAGATTTGGACACAAGAGGTTTTTCTTCCTTGTTCTTGTTTTTAATGTACTATGTGATATCATTTTTCTTTTGTGTTTTTTTTTCCCCTATGGTTTATCCCCTGTGGTCCCTGTATTTGATTTTGGTACCCTGGATATTGTATATAGGTTTATGTGAATTAGGTAAAGGAAACAACAAAATGGTGAGACAAAGGACAAAAGGGGAACCAATGCAACAGTGATACTCACAAGACAATATGTTGGAAATGATCTGTACAACTTAGGTGGGAGAGGAGTTGGGAGGGAGGGAAAGTGGGAGAAAAATGAGGGAGGGAGTAACAAGTTCAACAAGTAATGTACTCGCTACCGTACTTATGTAAGTGTAACCCCTCTGTATGTACATCACCTTGACAATAAAATTTTTTTTAAAGTTACATGATATACCACCATGTAAACATAATGCAATTACTTTACTGGCCTGTTGATATATATGTCATAATTTCCTCTTATTATTATGTACACACAATGACATCTTTGCTCACACATTTTAAAACATCTGTATGTACCTTTATGTGAAAAAAGTTCCAAGAGAATGAATAAATCAAAAGTGTACCCACTAAAAATTTTGAATGGATACTGCCCCACAATCTTGTTTGTTCAAAATATTCTAGTCATTGCTTAAAAAAAAATGTAGCTTTAACGATCAAGTGTGGTTAGTTACAGGATTCTCCTTATTTTTCTAGCACCTTCTTCATTTTTGTTCGAAGTTCCTATTGTATTGCCAATAATTCCAATCCAAAACATTACAACCTCTCCTTTTCTTTTGCCTTTAAATGATGAAATCACTCTCCCTGTGTAACTAATGTATGTTTTAAGGGAAAAAAAAGCATTTGAAGACTTCTTGATAATAGTTATAGTTATACAACTTGGTATACTTCCCCAAAGTTTTCCTGAATCATACCCTGAATTAGACTCTAGTTTGGATAAAATATTTCTCTTCTATATTCTGACAGCATTTTGCACTTCTAATATTGCATCTCACTGTATCATCATCTCAACTGTTTGATACTATCAATGTTACATGTCCCTTGAAAATGAAAATGTATTGCTAAGTTTGAGCAAGCTTTGTATTTCTGCTGAGTTAATTAAGTGAAAATTTGGAACATTCATACTGATAACATTATGAATTTTACCACTGTGTTACCAAATTAAAAGCCATTGACCATCAAGCCCAAATATACAGTTTTTGTTGTTCTTGTTTGGGCAGTGTGTGGGTTTGAATTAAAGTTCTTGCGTTTCTTTCTTTGCTCAGCTAGTACTCCACCACTTCAACAACATCTAAAACCAAGTGTTTTGGATAGTTTTGGGAACTTTTCTGCCAGTGTTGCCTTTAAGCAGTAATCATCTAGACTTCAGTCACTTGAGGAACTAAGGTTACAGGTATGCACCATCAGCATCTGGTACAAATACATAGGATGATGTTTTAATGGGATCCATAGACTAATTCTCACCTGAGTTTTGTTGAAGTTGTACATAATGTTGACGATTGTAAATGGAGTGAGATGGTAATGATCAGCATGGTAATTAACCTGTAAAAAAAGATTTTACATTTTTTTCCTGTTTGTTAAGAAAGAAAAAAATCCATGAAAAATATGAAGTGGAATTACAGCATAAACAGAAATTAAGTTTAAAACCCAAATAAAGTATATATAAACAAAATTACTTCAGAAAGTATTTAAATGACACATTAAGTGTAGCATATCTGGTAATATGAATACAATACTACTGCACAACGTACATAGTAATGTAGACTATATAATAGAGCTTTATTTAGACATTTGAATTTTTAACACTAGAAATACATCCCCTACTCATATGCATTTGGGGTAAGCATTTTCAAACTATAAATTGCAAGTAAGAGCTAAGACAAAAATTATGTAAAGGATCACAATGATGTACACTGGACTATGTAATATCAGCACAATGTAAAATATGCACATCAATGCAAACCTCTTCTGGGACACATATACTTACCATTGGTGTTTTACTGCTCATTTTTCTATACATACTTATTTTTCACTACTAAATGTAAATTAATTTATACTTTAATTTATACTTACCTATACTTTTCAAACCCTAAGAGCGAACAATTATAAACAAAATCAATTTTTAAAGAACATAAGTTACATATGACACCATCATTTGCCATTCCCCACAGCATGGGCCACTGACCTTCAATGGCTTAATGACATGAATGGAAGATTATTTAACAAGTTCAAGATTATTTCCTTAATAATATCAAGGATCCATTTGCTTTTTCACTGTACTGAGATTCCCTAGTGGTACAAAAGCAGGTATGATTCGAACCATTGACTCTTCATCTTGAATTGAGACAGTAGTAATCAGTTATGTTTTAAGTCTCCTATATTCTCCAATCCACATAATCACAGAAAGAACCAATGGTTGCTTAAGAATGTCCTTGGTGATGGGCACGTAGGCTGATTTTGTGTTTTTGTTATTGTAAATAGGGCTGCTTTCAGTGTGGGTGTGCACCTTTCAAATGCATGTAGATTTGCACTCCTTTGGATACATAAACTGATTGATGGACAAATAAAATTTGGTACAAATACACAATGGATTACTTCTCAAACACAAAAATAAAATTATGTTGTTTGCACGAAAACAGATGGAACTGGCAATTATTATAAAATAAGCTAGACAGAAAAAGATATGTTCACAAGTCTCTCATATGTGAAATCTAGCCCTTAAAAATGAATAAAAGAAATATAAAATAGGTTCTATTTGGGTAAAACGCAGTGGGAGGTAGGAAAGCAAAAAGAGAACATATAAGAGGTGATGAATATAATTGAAGTAAGATATCTCTATTTATCTATCCATCTATCTGCATGAAAACATTAATGATGAAACTTATTCCCACTGAAATTGTTTCAAAAGAGAAAAGGGGATGAAAGGGAACAAAATGGAATGACTTTGATCAGGGGTAACTATGTGCATATATGGACAAATCACAAAGAAACTCCTTTGTACAATGAATATATGCAAATTTAAAAATAAAATTTAAAAGAATATCCTTGGAGAAGTTAAATATGTTTACTTTATGAAGTTTTGACCCTTGAATACTTATATTCCTGACTGATATTCTGTGTGTTCCTTAAGAAAGATGATGGTATGAGGGATAACATTTAGATGATGGAATTGCAAGCTGCACTGGATGCATTGTTCATTGACCACCATTTCTCCTGGAAAAACTCCTCTGGCAAACTATAGTTACTATACTTGGGACAGATATGTCCTTGAATATGATTTACAAAATGATTTATAAAAAAGCAGGCTGGGGCTGGGAAGGTGGCTCAGTAGTAGAGCACTTGCCTTGCATTCATGAGGCCCTGGGTTCGATTCCTCAGCACCACATAAGCAGAAAAAAAAAGCCAGAAGTGGCGCTGTGGCTCAAGGGATAGAGTGCTAGCCTCGAGCTGAAGAGCTGAGGGACAGCGCCCAGGCCCAGAGTTCAGGCCCCAAGACCGGAAGCAAAAAAAAAAAAAAAAGCAAGCTTGATGACTAAAAAAATCCTAATTAAAACAATCCTGACAGTATTTTCTCAATAAAAATGGATTTATGGATTTCCAGTCTTAGCTACCAAAGGAAGCTAAGCTCTGAGGATTGTTGTTTGAAGCCAGCCTGGATCAGAAAGCCTCTGAGAACTTTGCCTCCAATCAGTCACCAAAAAGTCAGAAGTTGGGCTGTGGATCAAGTGGTAGGACACTAGTCTTAGCACAAAAGCTTAGGGTCAGTGCCTAGGCACCAAGTTCAAGTCCCAAGATCTATATACGCATACATATACACAAATCTACACACACAATGGATTTCCAAGTAAAAGAATTAAAAAGACTTCTGCTGAGATCAGCTGCATTTATAAGAATTATTTTATATCAATATTATTTTATGTTAATTTTTATGTTAATATTCAAATAACCATGTGTGATAATAAGAAATTGCACATGGGTAAAAGTAGTAATTCAAGAAGCACTGAAAGCTGGCACCCAGCCTGTAATCCTAGTTACTCAGAAGGCTGAGAGCTGAGGATCATGGTTCGAGGCCAGCTGGGGCAGAAAAGTCCTCAAAAACCAGATGTGGCTCTGTGGCTCTAAGTGGTAGAGTGCTAGCCTTAAAAAAAAAAAAAAAAGAGCTCAGGGACAGCACCCAGGCCCTGAATTCAAGCCCCATCACTGACAAAAAAAAAGAGAAAAAAAAGCACTGAGAATCAACTGGGGGTAGATTTTTATGTAACAAAGTATGAAAAGTTTATGTGGTTTCAGATTTCACATTGCAAAATTACCTGTAAGAAATCATCAGTTAGTGAGTCTTGGTGAAATCCAAAAAACACAATTACTTGAAAAGAATATAAAATACTCCTGTTTTCAACTATTAAATGTGCACAAAGCTGTATTCTCCTTTCTTTTAAAATGTAACACATGGAAGTAGAGTTGTGGTTCAAAATGGTAGAGTACAAGTCTTGACAGAAAAAGTTCAGGGACAGCACCCAGATCCTGAGTTCAAATCAAGCTCTGAGACCAATAAAAATAAATAAATGAATACATAATTTTAAAAACAAAACATACTATAAGACACTGGAGATATACATGAGATAAGCTGCTAACTCCTATAATGAAAACATTTACAAAAATGTAGAAGTTATTTTTCATAAATGAGTTACTTATGGAGTATCTAATGATTTTTATTGCTTTAATGAAAAATAGACATTAAAATTTTCCACTTTTAAATTCTAAATTAACAGGTATAACCCAGATAAACCAATGTTCTTTGGGATTCTGAATAGTTTTTAATGTTTTAAAGAAGTTTTGAGACTAAAATATCTTCTATTAGATTTTGCAACATTCCACATAGAATAACAGTTGTAAGCTTTTATTTCATGTATTTGAATTCTGCACTTCCAATCATGGTTAGGACTATCTTAGGAGGTAATAGAAAAAACATTTACCTGACATTGGCGGCGTAGAACAATGCAAGGATGGGCCAGTACATTTTCTGTAAAGAGACTATATAAAAACAATTTATGCATATTTGACTATACATAAATTTTATTTATAACATATATGTCTGAAACCAATTCTTGTCTGAAGCCTCATGCATTATTTCAAGGGATTTAAAAAAATTCAATGCTTTCAAATAATTCAACCAATAACAAAATTCAATATAAAAATGAAAATTAGACCTATAAATTGGTAAAGATAACCCCATATAATATCTATAAAGACAAAAATAGAATTCTATGAATTTATGAGAAATGCCACATCATTTAGCTTGCTATGCCATTTCTTTCAGAAAATGTCCTATAAACAAAATCTATTAGCCAAACCGTCTGTTCTTCGTGATCCTCATTGTAAAAACTTTAATATGACATAAATATATTCAAAATGTAGATTAGTTATTATATAAAATGAATGCTTTAAGCACAGAGAAGCTAAGATTAGTAGAATGGAGCATACATATTTTACGTATACTGATACTAGCATCCTCAGGCTTATTTAGACAAATAAGTTCTTTTCCTTTGGTTAAAATGTTTAAAATAATGAAAGACATTCAGGTATAAAATGCAAGTCTTATAAAAGCCTAATATGTATAAAACTGCTAATCAATGAAGATCACAATAAGTAAGAGGGCTATTTTTAAAATGGTCATTAGCTGAGCTCTGGTGGCTCATACTCCTAATACTAGGGACTTAGGAGGCTGAGATTTGAAGACTGTGATTCAAAGCCAGCCCAAGTAGAAAAGTCTGTGAGACTCTTATCTCCAGTAAAATACCCCCCAAAAGCCTTTTGGTGCTATAGCTCTAGTGGTAGAATGCTAGTCTTGAGCAAAAGAAGCTCAGGGTTCAAGTCCCAGGACTGGCACAAAAAATTTTAAAATAAATGAAATGATCATTAGGAACAAAAAAAAATAAATTGAAGCTGTTCACTATGTGCTAGTTAATTAATAACAAAATCTACATTCTAAGGTAAAAAGTATCTTGGTAGCATCCAAAAATTCAGAGAAGGTTCAAGGCATAATTACTGTTCTTGATGAGGAAGGAGGTAAGACTATATTTGAGTTTATTCTATCAGATACCACAACATGCATGATAAAAATAACTCTGAATTTATGAAACTAAAGTTTCTATCCTTAGATTTTAAATGAATTTTTGCAACATATTATTTAATATTTAGTCTACTACTCCAAATAAAAAGCTAAAGGAGGAAATACCAATCATTAATCACAAATTAGAGACAAAACAATAAAAACTTAATCTTTAAAGATTACCTTGCAAGTCCAATGCCAAATCCAGCAAATCTATTTAACTGCTCTAAAATAAAAGGAGTAAGATTACTTATAACCAATATTAGACTTACTATACAAATAAAACCTTTTTTTCTTATATTAACATGCTAATCATTTAAAACTTAACATCAAGCTCTGCTAGGGCTAAGAAGGTAATTTGAATGTATGAAGGCTTCTGGGACTTGGGCTTTATAGCAATTGTCAGATATTCTTAAAAGTGTAACTATTCATTAGCTCCAAATGACTGTCATCACATAAGGCGGGCCACGGGTTACTAAGCTGTGACTTTTTAAAAAAGGTTTATGTTTATAAAACACGTTTCAATATTAATAATGATAACTTTTTGAAAAATGGTATTAAAAAAAACACTGTAGGGGCTACATCAAATGAGTATGCACAGGGCTAAGAACTATCCGTTTTCATCTTCTGACTGAAACCAAACTTCTTTTTTTTTCCATAGAGATCCCTGACTGATAATCCTGACTTAATAAACACTTTATTAATCCAAGTTACAAGTAAAGCATCTCAAAATAGAAGAGTCTTCTAAATGGGCAAATAAAAATCTCTCTTCCCTATTACCTCCAGTTTAAGAGTTGACATTTAATTCAACTCTATTACTAGTAGTGTATCTTGATATTACTGGAAAAGTTAACAGCTTGAAAAAGTCTCATATGTGTCCTAAGAGCCTTTCTCTTAAGAACATAAAATCTTAATGGTGAGCTAAACAGGAGGCTAGATATTAAATATCAGTGTTCACAAGAGTCGAGTCCCAAACCTTCAAATGAAGCAATGCTCATATTTTCCGTGAGAATGGGCTATGTAAACATGTTCCTTGGGAGACTGTGTGCTTCATATTGAAAGATGTACAAAAAGCTTCTTTTGCCATATTAAGGTTCGGTTCATCTTTTACCTTTTCTATCCTTTTTGTGTGCATAATCATTTTCAAATGTCAATGAAAAATCCATTCATATTTCCTGGAAAGTGTTAAGAAGGCTCTCTTAACCTTGAATGTTTCTCACCTGCCTTTCCTTGTACAGTCAGTAGGTAATATCTCCAAAAAAAACCCTAGTTTTGTTAATAAGCTTCTCACTATAACCATCAAAACGTAATTTAGGTATCTCAGACTGAGTAAGAATGTGCGTAGGCAGCAACTACACATGCACTTTGAATGAATTCATAACTTGTAAGAAATTTTCAGTATTCTCCTGGAATCACTATGACTCAAGGAAGAGAAAACTAGTTAGCTGTCAGAAAGCTAATTGTATGACACTAGACAAAAAAAAAATCTTAAAAACGGATACAATAGCCATGATGAAAAGAGTAAAGGAGACGGATACTTTTGTTTACCCACGTATCCTACACGGTGCACTTAGCGCTAGCACAATTTTAACACCTGTAAAAACTCTTAGCAGTCATTCTACAACGAAGTCAAGAAAACGACGGCTCACAGGTAAAGAAAATGTTTCGGCCCAAGTTTGGCCCTTCCTGTATCACAAGCTCCTCTTCAGAATACACAGCTAAGGAAGGATCCATTAACTGGAGAAAACAGACGCCCAAGTGAATCAGGCAACAGTAAATAACTCAATTTCCTCCTATCTGGATTCAGGCCAAGGGGTGGGTGGGAGGGGGGGGGCTGGAGGTAACACCCCTAAAAACACTCGCTCTAAGACACCCTTACAGCTAAGATGTCTTTTGTTTTGTCTCTTGGAGGCGATCCCCCGAGAAGACGCGAGCGTGGGGAAGACGCAGGAGGAGGCCCTCCCGGGGACAGAGGACGAAAGGAGGGCAGAGGTGTGGAGCGCCGTGGGCGGAGCAGGGCCCGGGCGGACCTCCCGTGGGCGCGGTTTCCGGGGTCCGCAGGCCCCAGGCCGCGGCACAGCCCCTCCCACCCGGCTTGGGCCCCGCGTCCCTCACCGCTGCTCTGGCCCCGCGCTCCGCCGCCGCCGCCGCCGGTGCCGGGGCCGCTGCCGGAGAAGGGGTCCTCAGCGGGGCCCTCGTACGGGGTGGAGGTGGAGGGCACGCCGTAGGGCGGGCTCTTCTCGCCCCAGTGCAGGTTGCGGCTCCCCGGGATGTCTGGGGGAGTCGTCACCCAGGGGCCCAGGTCCGACCCTGAGCTGAAGGACCTCGCTGGGAAAGCGCCGCCAAAACCCGGCTCGTCCCTGGCACCGCCCCGGTAGCCCAAGCCATCGAATCCATCCGGGCGCCGCGGATGCATCGCCGCGGGGGCAGGATGAGGCCGGCCCACCCGAAGCCCACCACCCAGCCCACCGCAACCACCACCGCAGGGGCCACGGCCGCTCAGGGGCCGCACCGCTCCTCCTCCACGGCCGCTAGCGCCGCGTCTAGGGAAGCGTCTGACAACCGGAAGTCACGATGGGAACCCGGAAGGGGTGGGGGCACGTGACCGCAGTTGCTTCCGGCAGCTTTTCGTGCGCGGTTGCTAAGGAGACGCGGCGGCCGTGGATGGCGGGTCGTTGAAACTGAGAGCTTTGGGGAGGTGAGAAGAGGATTAGGGGATTGACGGGAATACACATTACTAAAGACCAGTGGCCTGGGTGGAAGAGGTCAAACGAAGATGTTTCTTCACCGGAGAAAATGCCCCGGTAGATCTGACCCCTTGAGACCCAGGCCTGGTTCGCGGGCGCCACACCCAGGCCCCACACCCAGGCCCCACACCCAGGCCCCACACCTAGGCCTTACACCCAGGCCCCACACCTACCTTTTCCACTCGAGTGGGGCCCACCCACCCCAGGGTGCTGGGGGAAGGTAAAGCTGTGTGGTGTTGGTTCCATCTAGTTCTGGCTCCCCCTGTTAGCGTTTTGAGTAGAAATCCCCCTGAGTCCCCTAACCCCTCAGTGAACAACACATAGGTACCTTGGACCACCAGAGCTTAACCTTCGGTCAAGTTCAAGTAAAAGAGGGGGGAGACAGAAACCCACCCACGACTCTGCGATTCAGGAAGAGTTTCACTTTTTTTTTTTTTTTTTGGAAGCAGCAAGGCTAGTCATAAAGTTTACAGTCTTATTTTCTTTCCTGATGCATCAAAATAGTAGATGATATTTAAATTCAGCATTGTCAATCAAAATCGTCCCCCTCCCCCCCTGAACAACATCCGCTAGAACACCTATGGAGTTCCCCACTACCTGCTTTCGTTAGCTCCATGGACTCTTGAGGGAGAGAGGGTCTCCCCAGGTCTAACTAAGTCTTGCATGGGTTCTTCCTGTGTCTCTTCTTACCGACTGATCACTTAGAATTCCGAGGGCTTCCAGAAAAGAACGCTGACATACTGTTCTCAATCTTCCAGGCCTGAACTTTTATTTAAAGTGATACTCAAGGTTTGAATGCATTGGCATTCTTGGGTTGTGTTGAGTCTTTTGATCTCTTGATAAGTGTGTGTAGTGTTACTGGAGTACTTGCAATGCACTATTGGATAGCATATAAAATTAATTACTGAGTATGACAATAAAAATTATTCTCTGTCCTTTAAGAATCATTGTAGTATAAGGATGGGGTTTGCTTAGTTCCTAAACGTACTTTAGTAAGCTTGTTTGAGTTTTAAGAAGAGGAGGATGGGAGAAAAGGAGATGGGGAACTCTTAAAACAAAAATATGAAACAAAAATTTCACACCTTCATCAGTGAAGAATTAACTATTTAAAGAAGAACATTTGGGTTTCCAGTTAAGGGAAAGTCACTGTTTTTTTCATTAAGTAAGAAATCCAGTACTGCAGTGGATTGGAAGAGTTTCTAGCCTAATAACTTAAGCTAAAAGCCATTTATGGAATTAGAGCAAGATTACTATTATTTGGACTGTATAAACTTCAAATTTCTGTTTGATAAATGAAAACAATAAAAGCATAGTAATGAAAACAGCAAATTATAAATCTGTAGAAACTAGATTTTTAACGGCTAGAATATAAATCAGTATTGTAAATGTGCAAATAGGATTTATAATAAAAGTAAGTAAAAACATGAAAGAAGTGTATAAAGAGGACATTTATAAAGGGAGGGCAAGAGGAGAGGGTAATGAGGTGACTATGATGAAGTACTCTGTACACACATAAAAATAGAATAACTAAAACCATTAAAACTGGAAAATTAGAGGACAAGAAAGGGATGAATTAGACAAGGTATGTTTTATGCAAGTATGGAAATATCAGTGAAATTTTGTATGCTACTAAAATAGTGCTATATCCATACAGAACTTTAATTGAAAAGTGTTTGTTGAATACTTATTTTGTGTTTTAAGAAATGAGAGTAAATAGGCCAGACAAAATCCCTACATTGTTAGAAGTGACATGATAGTTGTAGAAGACAGCATATTAAAAAAATACACTGATGCAAGTTATGAGGCAAACATGTACTATCAGATAATGACATAATTAATTTTTAAAGTTGAAAGTAATGAAGTTAGCTTTTCAAAATTAGCTTCTAAAGTTCTCTCTGAAGAAATGACCATTGAAGAGATCCCCAAGGAAGTAGGAGGGTGAGCCATGTTTATCTTGAAAAGTTTTCCAGGTAGACTAGTACCAAGCCCATGGCCCTATTAACAAGTACAGGTAGCCAAGAGCAAGGCCAGAAGTGATAGCAAATAGAAGTAGAAAGGAGAATCACAGTTAAATCTCAAGGGCAAGATGAATAATGATGGACCACATTTAGGTTTTCTTGAGAGCACTTATATGATGCTATTGTCCATGGGACAAAGGTGGAAACTTTCTTTCTTTAGTAGGTTATTGAAAGCAGCCAAGGAAAAAGACAATAGTAGCGATCTAGAGTGGTGAAGACAATATAAGAACTTAGAATGTTTTAAAGTTTGTGTTAGGAATGGATATTAAGTGACAAAAATATTCATATTTACTGTATGATCTCACCTTTTCATAACAAAATGATAAGATTATGTCAGGCATGGCTCAGCATACTTTTATCTTTATAATTTGTAATTATGCTAAAATGCTAGGTTTTCTTCCTGAGGAAAAATTAAATATGTGCAAATATAAATATAAAATATATTTTACTGTATATAACATTTGAGACAATTTTAAATTATTAATAATGATAAAATAAGGGCTGGGAAAGTGGCTCAGTGGTAGACTGCTTGCCTTGCATGCCTGAGGCCCTGGGTTCAATTCCTCAGCACCACATAAGCAAAAAGAAAAAAGCCGGAAGTGGCGCTGTGGTTCAAGTGGTAGAGTGCTAGCCTTGAGCTGAAGAGCTGAAGGACAGCGCCCAGGCCCAGAGTTCAGGCCCCACGACCGGACCCCCCCCCCAAAAAAAAAGATATTATAAAGCAAATTCAATTATAGATAGTATAGTAGTACAGAATACAGTAGAGGATATTTATAGAAACCCAAATTAATTATCACTAAACAGCATAATATATATTATTTTTAACATTTTACTTCAGTAAATAGATTAGATGAATCAATTTTATTTGAAGATGGTCACATGCAATATTATGTATTCAGTATGATTTGAAGTTTCATGTGCTCAAAGCTTAGTTTTCTTTGTGGCAGTGTTGATAAGTAGTAGAACCTATTAGCATAATGGAAGGTGGCTGAATTATTAGGAATGCTGTCTTAAGAAGGGACACTAGTTAGTTTCTGTGAGAGTGGGCCATTATGAAAGGAGCAAGCTCACCTCTGAATTCCTCCTCTATTTGGCTCCCCATATAAACTCTTCCTAATGCCATTCACTGTTTCTGATGTTCTCAAGGAGTTCTCACCAGAGGCCATACAGATGGGGCCACCTGATCTTCAACATTGTCACCAAAATTCATTATTATGTACCAAGCCTTAGGAGCATTCATTTATTCATTTAGGTTATGTCTGCCAGTGCTAGGAAAATCAGGACCTGGCTGTCCCTTAGCTGTTGTACTTAAGGATTATACTCTACTATTTGAGCCACAGCTCTACTTCCAGCTTTTTTCTTTTGTTTTTTCTTTTTCTTTTGGTTAACTGGACATAACACCCTCACCAGTTCTTCCGATTGGGCTGGCTTCAAACTGGAATTCTCAGATCTCATACCCCTGGGTATCTAGGATTACAAGTTTGAGCTATGAATGCCTGGCTATTTTAAAGTACTCAGCCTTAGATATTTTGTTATAGCCACAAAACCTTAAGAGGAGATAGGAATACTTACAATCCCCAAATAGTGTAATGCATATTTTTAAAATCTCTAGACTTTTTAGTTATTGCTAAACTACAAATAACGAATAGCAGACTATTCATAGTTTTCAAGACTTGATATAGAATTTTATGACTGTCAAAAGTTTAGGCTAAAATTTTGCTCAATTTGATACTGAATTAATTCAGCTAACAGGGTTAGGTATAAATTTCCTTCAATTTATCACAAGAGTTTATGTAATAACCTTTATTAAGCAGCTACTGTTTGCAGGTCACTATATTAGGTACTGTACACTATTTTCTATGATGAAATTAATGATATTTAAAATATTTCTAGGATAACTTGAAAGGGGAAAATTAGAAAATATTTTTTGTTTGTGCTTATTTGTGGAGAATACATGTAATAATCCACTATAAATTTGATTTACATTATTGTGAATACCATATTGATGTATAAATACTTAGTCTTACATACACACAGTAAGTCAGCATAACCAAGTTGTAAATTATATATACATTTTTCCATTGTAAATTTATTTCCATGTAGTCTATACCACTTGATGTCAATAAGAAAGTTGTTGGCTGAATTGTTAGACTCAGTTTTTACTTCTCTAAAGTCAACATGTCATGGTATTATGATGGGGCGAATGGATTTCTCTTTGATTTGGGCCTTTATCAAATGATATTCTTTGCCAAAGGGATTTTAGTAGATGTAATCCACACATAGGTTTTTCCTCAGTTGCTCTGCCCTCTTGGGCTCCTGCCATCACATGAGAGTATATCCCAAGGCATCTTTGCTCCTTCACTGGCTTCAGAATGAGATCTATGGAGCAGTTTTGAACTCAGCTGGTACCCTAGTGGCAATCTCAGGTGGCCCCATGCAACACTACAAACTCCAGAGTGCAGACTAGTGAGCAAAAAAAATACATTTTAAACCAGCAGAATATTCTGGCAGTAGCTATCTAACATACTAATGTGCCATTTAAAAAAAAAAACAGTGGACAATATAGTGATTTGGGGCTTTTAAATTTAATTGTGTCTTATTCTTGAAAACATGCCCTGTTATCTTCCGTATAGTTAGCTTTTCTCTAAATTCTCTGTAGATTCAACTAATTTCTGCAGCAGAGAGAATTTTTAACCAAACTTTTTATTCATTTGTGAATAACGTGCTTAACACTTTGCTTGTTTGTTTTATGTTTTTAATACTTTCCCTAGATACCTTGAAATTAATGCATTTGACACCATCCCCTCACTCCCACTCCACCTCTTGTAAGCATCTCAGTCTTCCCACATTCATTTTATTGGAACTTAACAAACATTAGGCTATCCCTGGTATCTTTTATGGAAGGTGGGGATCAAAAACTTTCTTCTATACTA